AAAGTGTGAAGGCAAGAGGAGAAGGGGACGACAGAGGATGAGATGGTTGGACAATGTCATCGAAGCTACCAGAATGAATTTGACACAACTCTGGGAGGCAGTGGAAGACAGGAGGGCCTGGCGTGCTCTGGTCCATGGGGTCACGAAGCTTTCTTTTTCAGCATTAAGGTTGGATATTAAGAGTTTATGATCAGTACCACAATTCATTCCTGATCTTATTTTGGCAGAGAGCTTCTCCATCTTTTGTTTCCAATTATGTAGCCCATTTGATTTCTTTTTCAGCATTAAGGTTGGATATTAAGAGTTTATGATCAGTACCACAATTCATTCCTGATCTTATTTTGGCAGAGAGCTTCTCCATCTTTTGTTTCCAATTATGTAGCCCATTTGATTTCTATATTGACAATCTGGTGATGTCCAGAGGTACATCCATATGTTTGGTTGAAGTGTGTATTTGTAATACGCATATTGTTGTGTTTGCAGAACTCTGTGAGTTGTTCTCCTGCTTTGTTTCTGTCTCCTAGGCCAAATTTTCTAACCACATTTTGTTTTGCTTTGTTCCCTAATTTTCCATTCCAGTCACCTATGATTGGAAGAATGTCTTTTTTGTCTGTTTGTGATCAGTTTCCTCTTAAATGCTTACATAAAATATTTCAATTTCATCTTCTTCAACATCATTAGCTGGTGTATAGGCTTGAATGATGGTTATATTGATAGGCCTTACTTTGTATTATAGCTCCTAACTGCCTGTGCTATATCTTGTCTCAATATTACAGCCACTCCATTTCTTCTGGGTTTTGTCATTTCCAGAGTAGAACACTTTGCATTTGTCTGACTGAAAATCTCTCATCCACTCCACTTTAGTTCACTGAGACCAAGCTCTGCAATGTTTATATGATTCGTTTCTTCCTTGGTTATTGCTTTTCATGTTCCATGTTCTAATTGTATGCATTGTTCAGCATTGGACTTTTGTTTCACTTCTGTGTACATTAGTCGCTAGACATCCTTTTGCCTCTAATCTAGTTGTGCTATTAATGACCAAGCTATTCGTACTTGTCCTTTGCTCTTCCTTGATAGCTAATTAAGTGTTTTCCAACATGGGAATCTCATCTTCCAACACTATCTCTTATTTTATTTTGGACTGTCTCATTGCAGGTTTTTCAAGAGATGGAAAGTGCAGTAGGGGTTTACCAATGTTACAGTACTAACGGTGCTACATCATTGCACAGTACAGTATTTACAAAAGATAACGAGTGTAACTGATGTTGCCTCCTCTTCAGCTACTGGTGCTATTCAGTAGCTGCACTGAAGAGGATGGATGCATCTTTGACTGGTGCTTCTGCTGTGACCATTCTGCCATGGATGACCCTGCTAGGAGTTCAGGCTTGTAATAAGAGTCTGGTCTCCTGAGAGCATTGTTCTCAGCTTCACTGATACATTCAAACCCCTTCACCTGGTTAAAGTGTGCATCCAAGAAGAGAATCTTACTTAAATTCCGCATCCAAGGTTTTTTTTTTCTGTCATGGTTCTGAGTTTCTCCACATCTGATAAAGAGAAATTCAGCATGTGAAGATCATTTCTTGCCCATGGGTGTTGTGACCAGGAAAGCTTCGCCAACTGAGAGCTGTGTCCTCTCATCCTGCAGCCACCAGCCTTGACAGGAACACAACGTTGATAACTTTGAGACCATCTGGAGCTCCTGTACAGCCCTACCACCTGAGATCCAGGGCAATCCTGTCTCTTGTTCTCTTCCCAGATGTTCACAGCCTGGCTGTGGTTGCTTAGCAATCAGCAAGCTTGCCAACTTTCCCTCCCCTTTCTCCCTCCCCCCCTCCGAAAAAGCTCCCTCTGCAGAATATCTGTTCGAGTATTTTATCTGTCCATTTCCCCTAATGGATAATGATCCGATTGGCTGTAGCTTGGCCTCTCTCCTCTGACTGATCCCTACTTTCGACTGTATATAGCGCTGTATGACAGTGGGCTGTTTTTAATTTGTGAAGAGGCGGATTCCAGATCATACGAAGCCCCCGCAACAAGAATACCCTTCGTCTCAGGAGTCCTGGTTGGGGCACACAAAAGAAGTCGCGGTCAGCGGAAGGGATTCTGCACATGCTCGGTGGTAACGCCGGCTTTCCTTTGCCACAAGCAGCTTCGCCTCGCTTGGGCATTCGCAAGCGGTGCCGGGGGGGGGCTTTCCCTCCGACAACCCATAAATCGAATTCAATCTGGGGTGACGCCGTCGTGAGGCTCAGCAGCGGTTGCAGGATATCCCTCGCCAAAGCGCGGGATGGTCAGCGCGGCTCTCCTGCTTCCGCCCGCCTGCCCGCCTTCAAGTGCCCTGGAGCCGGAGAAAGGCCAGCGGGGAAGCGCCGGGAACGGAGGCGGCTAGCGCTATGGATCGTCTCCTTAGCCGGGATCCTGTGGATATTGAGGTACCCACTGGCTGCGGGGAAAAGGGGCCGAGCAGATGACACGTGTACTGTAGTGAGCAGCATGGCGTGGCGGACCAGCGTGGCTGAGGCTAGAAACCAGGAAGACGCAACTTTGACCCGAAAACCTGCTGCGGCGGCGGCGGCGGCAGCGCCTGGTGACTGGGGGGNGTGTTCCCGCGGTGGATATATACCAAGGGTCGCTTTCTCGTCGCCTTGTGGATTTGGGAACGGGAGCTGGGAGGGCTGCCCCTCTTCCTTTGCTCAAATATTTAGTTTTCCCCTCAGGCATTGAATCCTGGACTGTTAAAAAATACAATAAAACCACAGAAAAGAAATATATCTTGATACTTCAGTGTCCTCCCGAGTCGATTGTAACAACAAGTGGAAATTTCCATTACACAACCAGGGACCTTTTGGCATAATTTTTGTTTTTTTGCCTGGGACAGCTTGTCTTCTGAACCCTTGGCCACTAGGAGGGCACAGCACAGGCAGATCTGAGGCACAGTAAGTTCCCGAGTGCCGTCTTCTCATATAACCATAGCATCTTATTTTGACTATCTGGTGAGAGCAAAAGAGAGAGAGAGAGATGGTCGGGGACAGCCAGACTTCCAGATAGGAAAGACACACAAACATTCCTATATTGGGCAGAGACACATATGTGAATGATCTAGAGCAGTGGTCCCCACCCTTGGGCCTCCAGATGTTCTTTGACTACAACTCCCAGAAGCCTTCACCACGACCTCTACTCGCCAGGCTTTCTGGGAGTTGAAGTTCAATAACATCTGGAGGCCCAAGGTTGGGGACCACTGATCTAGAGCACTGGTTCTTAACCTTGGGTTACTCGGGTGTTTTTGGACTGCAACTCCCAGAAGCCTTCACCACCAGCTGTGCTGGCTGGGGTTTCTGGGAGTTGCAGTTCAAAAGCATCTGAGTAACAAAGGTTAAGAACCACTGATCTAGAGAAGTGTGATGGGGGCGCTAAGTCCACTTCTTTTAGGAAGGGGCGCTTACTCCTCAGCCTAAAGGGATAGTTTGCTGCCCTGTGGTGGCTTCTCAAGGTCTGCCTCCTGGGCTATGGTCTCTTCTGCTTTGCCTAATGATAGGCCTGGCTTTGGAGAAAGACGGCGGTGAGGACCCTTCAGTGTTGAAGACATCATATCACAACTACGCTGAACCCATCATGTTCCTGCCCCTAATTGTACAGAAGAGGAATTTCAACTCAGCATTTCCTTTTCTGAATTTGGCCTTCTGTCATTGGTTCGAAATAATATAGGATGGGCTAGTACCACATGCAGAGAAGAGTGTCACCTTTTTCCAGATAGCTTTTCCTTGATCTTTCAAGCTAGTCTTTCTATGTGCTAGATACCACCTTTTTCCTAATGGTCTTCTAGTGTCAAGCGCAGAGGTGGCCAAAATGTAGTTCTCTGTATGTTAGACTACACTTCTCAGCCAAAGATAGGGAATGCTGAGAATTTCAGTAACATCTGGATGGTCACGCTTTGCCCACCTGTGGCCTAACCTTGTCTTGTTTGCAAGGGGGTGAGCACTTTGTAGCCCTTCAGATATTATTCATGATTCTGTTGGATGGACCCGATTGGAGTTGCAGACTTAACACTACAAAGAAAGCCACAAGCTACTGATATCTAGAATAGAGCTTGCAAACAAGAAGCAGCCAGATGCTGCTAATCTCTGCACTAAAGGATGATACTGGGAATATTTATTTACTTATTATTTCAGCTTGTATACCACCCTGTAGTGCAAGCACTCTCTAGGTGGTTTATGACATAGTCACAATAAATCACATTAAAATGCACTTATTAAGAATATGGTATTTTATATATGATTATGGTCTTCCATAAGTTATTGCATTCCAAGTTCCATAAGTTCCAGCTGTCATGGCCATTCGGCATGGATAATGAAAGTTGTAATCACACAACATTTGAAGCACCACAGGATTCCCATGACAGGCATATTTATATTTTCTAGGAAGAACGTGCCATTCCTCAGCAAAAGCTTATTGTTTTGAAAACAAGTCACAGACCAGCAGCTGAAGATTGGAGGGAATATCTGCAGTCATGCTCCTTGAAGTGATTGTCATATGAAAGGTTCATGTCAGGATATCCTGGAGCAGTAAATTAATCATTTATATTCAGGTTCCCTCCCTGCCCACAACCAACACAACATCTCTAGAGATGACAACCTGATAAGCCCTTCCCCATCTGGTTTTCAGTTCCTGTGCAGTGATTGGTGTGTTGTGAAAATTAAACTGTTTCACAACAGACTTTCTCCCCTCTGTTTTCTTACAGAGTGACAAAGGTCTGTTTTATGCAACAGATGTGCTTGCTGCAGTTACATTCATGCCAGTGAATGCAGACGGCAGACACTGGTTCCAACGTTTTTATTCTTATCTATCAAATTTATGACAAAATACACAACTTTTTTTACATACCTGCATCACCCAGGTGGACATGATTTTTTAAGTACTTGGGCACTTGTGTTGGAGAGCCATGATTAGCAGTGGCCTGTGATGAATATCTGCTGCATGTTTAGGGAGACAATACCGTCCTCCAGCCTTTACATGCTGAACATAACACACAGTGATGCAACTGCAGCCAGTGTGGTACATGTGTAAAACAGGATGGAGAATATGTAGCCCTCCAGTTATTGCTGGAATACAATATTGTTTCTTACTGAGAGAAAGCTGGCCTATTAAATAAACAAACAAATTCTGTCCATCTATCTCCATTGGCAATGTGGATGGGAATCCAGTGATATTTGGAAGGCCCAAGTTAGTCTTCCATAATATAAAGCCATGGTCCCCAACCTTGGGCCTCCAGATGTTCTTGGACTACAACTCCCAGAAGCCTTTACCACCACCTCTGCTGGCCAGGATTTATGGGAGTTGAAGTCCAAAAACATCTGGAGGCCCAAGGTTGGGGGCCACTGATATAAAGGATGAAATGTATTTTTGACATGAATTCCAGGAATGCTTTCTTCATCCTTGATGTTGGTTTGTCTTCAGTCTCGAACAGCCACATTTGCACTTGTGTGCATCACCTTCAGCTTTTTTCCTTATTTTTACACACATGATACCAGTATTGCTTTGTGTGGTTTATTAAGGGTTGGGTAACTTCGGAGTCATGAGGTTGCGTCTTGAGAAAACCTTGGGAGAACACAGACCTGTTGAAATGAGTGAGGCTGAAGATAGGTGTGACATGCTGACATAGGTCAGGTGTAATCCAGCCATTACCTTTAATACCAAACTGTGCTTGAGGTTGTAAATATGGAATATATTTCCTTTATTCTCTGTTTTTAAGATGATTAAGAATTTGGGAAAATATACTTATCTAGATTATGACAATTTATTCAGATTTATCCATTTTACTTCTTCTTAAGTAGTCCAACATAAGCAACTAGAGTAGAAAACATTCAACCCTCCAGATATTACTAAATTACATCTCCTGGTACATAGTTCAGTTGTTTCCACAGAGGTTGGGAGTGCAATTCCTCACTGTGGCTTTTTGACTTGATAATTCATAGGGTCCCTTCCAGCTCTGCAGTTCTAATCTTAAGATTATATCATCTTTTGCCAGTGACTAGGCTGAATGATATTGATGGGAAATGGAATCCTAAACCACCATTGCTTTATCCAGTCCTGGGATAAAGCAATGTAGGCAAAGATTCATCTCTAATATAGTGATCTGATTCTAGATGCATGCAGCCAAATGTCTGTTTTAAACTAATAATTGAATGCATGCTGTCAAGTCTCTTGGGACTTAGGTTAACCCCTTCCAGGGTTTTCTAGACATAGAGTACTCAGAAGTAGTTTATCATTTCCTTCTTTTTGGGGTGTCCTGGGATTGTGCAGCTTGCTCAAGGCTACACAGGCTGGCTCTTCTCCCATGAGGCACAGTGAGGAGTTAAAACCAGCCTCTGGCTGTGCAGCCAGATACCTTCTTGACTGAGTTATGCAGTCAGCCGCCGAATACAAAGAACTTAAAATAAGCACAAACACATTAAAAACACTATGTGTTTTGAGCATAAAATCTATTTGTCTGTGCACCTGTATGAAGATAGATAGATAGACAGACAGACAGACAGACAGACAGACAGACAGACAGACAGACAGACAGACAGACAGACAGACATGTACACACGAATACTGTTGATCTCTAAGGTGCTTCTTAATATTCTGGGGAGGCCAAATCAAAGAATTTGTAGGAGGTGGGCAGAAGTAGTTTACCTCTGCTAAATTGAAGAAGAGTTACTACCTTCCTCCTCATGAAGTGCCACACATTAGTAACTTTGTATGTTTTCACTGTGGTTCATTCTCAGGAATTTTTTTATTTGCATTACTGTTAAAATGTTCAAGAAGATGCTCATTTTTATACATTTTATCCATTCTTTGTATTTTTATTGCTTGGGTATTGTTACTCATTCTTGCTGTAAACCACCCATAGAGTCTGTGGTTTACAGGGAGAAAGAGGAGCATCAAGACATGAACAAAGTGAAATGAAATAAAATAAAGCAAAGTGTTCCCTGTCACTGTTTTTGATGGGACATAAGAGAGAAATCACCTGGCAGGACAAAGTTTCAAATACAGTAGTTGTAGAACGAGTTAGAATTTTTAGCATGTATACATTACTGAAACAGCGACATCTATGCTGGCTCAGGCATGTTGTGAGAATGGCTGACAGTTGAATTCCAAAAGATCTCCTATATGGAGAATTACTGCAGAGAAAGTGCCCCAGAGGGAGACCACAGCTGCAATACAAGGACATCCGCAAGCGGGCTCTGAAGGCCCTAGGAATGGACCTCAACAGATGGGAAACCTTGACATCTGAGCATTCAGCCTGGAGGCAGGCCTCTCCCAATTTTAAGAGACACTTGTTCAGCAGGCCGAGGCAAAGAGGCAGTCCCGAAACCAGCAAAATTAGGGAGCTGGACAGGGGACGGACTGTATTTGTGTGAGACTGGGAGTCCCCTCAAGGGGACTCTGC